ATTATCAAATAAGTAAGGTTGGGAGGAAATCTTACTTATAACCACTTGGCACAACAATGATACAAAATATGCAAATACAGCAATATGCAGAAACTATGATCATTACTCGTGACCAGGCCCTTGGCCGGGCACGAGTCATAAAATGCAACGCGTTTAGTTTTTTTTTTTTTCCAAGTCAGAAGTTTGCCTTCGGGTCTCCCGATCGCCCTCCGATCTATAACGAAATATCACATTACGAACTCGGCTGTAAACAATTGTGTAATAGAACAGTTAACTGCCCGGAAGCTGTAGCTTTTATAGTAATTCTTTGATATTCGAGGCCTTTTGTTATTCCAAGACATTCATCTGTGTCGAAGCATATATTATGACATTGGTTTAGGTCATCAAGGTTGGTGTATCGAGCCAAATAGTGCATTTTCCTTGGCAAGATGTAAACCGATCGTAGGCTGAGTGAAGACGCAACGTGGCTGTTTGATTCTGAGTTGCATAGTTCAATTTGATGAGGAATTTTGTCTCTTCAGGATTAAAGAAAACAATGCTATTCACGCGGGAGTATTCCTAGATGAATATTGAAGCGATTATGGTTTTATAGAGCGGATAACCATCTTGTTGAGATCGTTAGCGGCGGCGCGAACTATCGCCGACACTTCGAAAATTATCTGATTTTCAGGATATTGTGGTTTAATACTTAACCTTTAAATTACTACAATAAGAATAAGTCTATCCATATTTTACTTTGTTTGACATGAAAGATTATCGGATTGAACGATTTCAGTCGCATTCCTTGCGTGATGTTTACCGTGTAGATTTGTCATCTAGTTCCTTCAAAGCTGCTAAATATAGGCGAACAAGTGAAAAGTTTTAAATGAGCTCAATTTGAAAAAGTACTGAATAAGCCAGCACTTTTTAACACCTTTAGGTCACGAGTACACCCTGCTGGCAGGGTCTAGTTGTGACTTATATTCCTAGTCCAGTCCCAGCCCCTTTTCGACCCGCTCGATTAATGGCGAGTCGAAAAGGAGCTGGGACTGGACTATCATATTYCAAGTATATATAAAAAATTATAGGATACCATTTCTAATATTTTTTTGAAGTTGCCTAGCAAATAGTACTTTCTGAAAAAAAATGTCTAGATTTAAAGCTGTTCCTATTGTTCATTCATAGTTAAGTCACAACAAACAACAAACATAGTTGCCTAGACTGGTCCAGGCTCAAAGGCCACACTTTAACACAAATATATATAATAATATAATAATAATATGTGGTATTTATATAGCGCCGATATCCTCTGAGTTCAAAGGCGCTTCACATGTATAGATCATTTCACACGGACCGCTGTTTAAGGCGCAATTGGCAGCCACGCGGCTTACAATCATGAGGGGTTAGTAATTAGTATGGGTTAGTAGTAAGGCCTAGCCACACACACCGGGAATCATTCCCTACTCTTATGCGAACAGTGGTGTGCGTTCTTTAACGTCCCTCTAATAGAGGTTAGTGAGTGAAGTGTAGAGAGACGGGGCCTCCGATTTTACGTCGTTATCCGAGAGGACGAGAAGATCTTACCATTTGCAGATGGAGAAAGACAAAGGCAGCAACTTCTCCTCAATTATTTTAAGACCCTGAGTGTTGGTCTGGACGGGGTTTGAACCTGCGACCTCCCGCACTAAAGTCCGATGCTCTACCTACTGAGCTAACCGGTCGGCGGTTAYAATATATGTAGAACAAGTTGTACAACTTAACTTCTACAGAGCTTGGACCACACTGATTTCACAATTCCTGACACCTCCTTATATAGCATTATAACACATTATCATACTAGCTCCAGGCCACTCTCTCACATAGGAACACATTTCTCTCTCCATTCCAACTCGTTGTTCATTCCAAGAGAAATACAATTCTTATAAATACTCCATTTTCCAAATTCAAAGTGAAAAACTGCTGGTGCTTTATTTATGTATTTGAAGCAATAGTTAGTTCTTTACAATACTTCCATTTCAAGAAGTTTAGTGGTCCTTCAGCAATTGCACAATATACTAAACAGTACCACTAAACATGGATCTATAAGAGATCTTAGAACTCTTAGCAAACTCACTGTTTTTGAATTTGTCAACATACTTCAAGTCAAAGTGCTACTTTCATAATTTCTTCACCAAGTACACACTGAATAAGGCTCAGGCACACTTTATGTAATACAAGAAAAAATTAAGCTATAAACACAACTTAGACCACAATATAGTCTAACTGAAATTGATTCATAAATGTATGACACAGCTCCTATTTGAAGGGGCGGATGCGAGGACGGCTTAAGTGACGATTCAGGGTATTTTTGAAATTTTCAAAAAATGAAAACAAAAATACATCCAATCATTTGTTTCTGGTCTAAATAATTGTGTTTGCTAGTTATTTCTCGTGATTTCATTAAAAAAGCGAAAAAAGCCACGACATTTAGTTAGTACATACAATACCCTCCCCTCCCCCCAAACTTTAGCTTAGGGTTAGTTTCAGCCTTATGCACTAGGCTTAGGGTTCCTATAACCTAMGACAGGGTCTAGGGTTCCTTGATTTGAAAAAAATCTGAGTTTTGAAAGCAAACAAACCAACTGTCATGAGTCATGAGTTTAGCACGAATATGCAAATCTAGCATTTTACGGTCTAGCGATCAGTTGTCAAGCCAAAGAAGTCCGTAACTATGGGTCTTTTTTTGCTCTTTTTAGAAAGAAATCAGGACAAATAAGTGCTAAATAGCATTATCTAGACTGAAAATAAGCGATTGAAGTAATTTTTGATTTTTGAAGTGAGTTTTCTAAAATTTCAAAAATACCCTGAATCGTCACTTCTCGTATCCACGCCTTCATTTACATAATGATCAATGATAATGATCATTACAAAATAAAATATTTAAGATAATTAAATTGCTCCTTTAATGTTTCAGTGAGAGTTCAAAAGTTAGTCACTACATCATCAATTTCAAGGGAACCTTTTATCAGATAGGAGAACAAACATTCACAACACTACCTGAAATTATTGAATTTTATAAAAGGCACTTTCTGGATACCACTACCCTGAAGGAGCCAGTAAGTATATGCATTATCTGAAGAGTATTAGTATTATTAAATTTGTTGCTGAGCCTAATTTTGTGAGGTTAATGTGACATTTTTGTGGCCATGTTTGCATTATAATTGTTCACCAGTATTTAGTTCTTTGTCTATTTGCATAATATCTGTTATATAGAGTACTATAGGCATTAGAGTGTGATGACATCACCAAACGAAAATTTTTGAGTTTATAAACTTGCCCTCCATATTCTGAAAGTGCATCATTTTGAATGCATCCTTGTTAAATATGAATGTCTAAGCTTTTGTATGTGGTCAACCGACCATAAATCACTTGTATCTCTGCTATAAATGGCAAAGGACACTGAAATTTTGTAGATGGCTACTTTTGTCATTGCGCTTTAAGGATTTTCAACGAATCCTAAACATTCGAAAAAAGTATTTTATTTGTGACGTCACACTTTAGTACTCTATTGTTAATACCTTTATTGTATTTCAAAACATCTGTGGTACAGAACAAGAAAAAAGAAAAAAGAAAAAGAAATGTGTTTAAACATATTCAGTGAGGCCAATTTGGTGAACAGTTATCATAGAAGCAATTATGCAACATTGACCGTTTTATACATTGTATGACAATTTATTTTTTATTTTTGTGTACCTTTGCTTCTGACATTTGAAGTCATCTCCTGCAACAAGAGTTTCTAGGCCTGCATTATTGATTACAAGTAAACAGGAAGTTCTGGTATAAAAGGCAGTTGACYAGGAAGAATTCTGCTCATTAGCCAATGAGATACTGAATAGAGGGTCTAACCCCAGCTGAAGTTCGATCATGATATTTATACAGGCAAAATTTTAATTTGAGCAARTGTAGAAATTTTCACTTACATGTATAAATACAACAAATAATTGTGATACCAAAATATCTAGTGATCTTCACAAGCAAAATTGAATGATTTATTATTTTTTATCAATTAAAAAAATGCATTCTTTTGCTTGATTTATTAGGTGCCAAAGCCAGATGAAAATAGTGAAAAAGTTAGAGCCATGTATAACTTCCCAGGAAATGTGAGTTTYATTTTTTCCAATATGTAGTATTAWACAGACTATTGTTTCCTTTAGACTTCCACCACATGCTTAAAACTGGAAGTATCTAAGGAATTGAAAAAAATATTCTTCTTGAATTTTATAAGAAGCAAAAAAATGTCCTTTTGCTACTGCAAGCAGTTTTTTTTAATTTCAGCTGATATTGTCATCTGTTGAKCCATTAGGCCTTTATTTCCATTCCGTTTTTCATTCTTTTCAATTCATTTACTGCTTACATCATAAGCATCTATCATAGTTGTCCAGTAATGACAAAACGTCATATCAATTAGAAAGGAATGTTTTTTTGTTGAGTCAGTTTTTTCTGAGTCTTTGACTGCAATAAGGCTTACACAACTGTATTCTCAATGGTCACCATGAGTACTTTCATATCATGTCAGGATAATTAGCACATTATTGGTGTTCTGAATAGAAGGCTACTCACTTTTCTTGCAGCAAACCATCCTTATAAAAACCCTAATGTACATGTACAGTAGAAAATAATAATATTGATACCATTACTTGTCTATAAAACTGGGGCATTTCTACAGATTTTTTTTACAATTTTTGAAATGGCAAAGAAACAGCTGAGAGCTTCATTATCAAACAGCCCTTCTTATAAGGATACGCAGAACGACAATAGGCAGGTTAAGAGAAAAACAAAATGGTGGCGGTACGTTCTTAAGTTTGTACTCAATTGAAGCTGCGCTGGCTGGCTGCRAAAAATGGCAAAGTGACTTTTTAGGGTATATTGGAAATTTTGGATAAATTGAAAAAAAATCCACTTCAAACACTTATTTTTAGTCTAAATAATCTTATTCAGGTACTTTTTTCTCCTGATTTATTTCTAAAAAGAGACAAAAGCAAGACGAGCTATAGTTACAGACTTCTTGGGATTGACAACTGATTGCTAGACCGTAAAAATCTTCTATATGTGCATATTCCAGCTAAACTCTTGACTTTGACTGTTGGTTTGTTTTGGCTTGACACTGTGCTGCAAGAAGTCAAGAAATGAGTTTCACGTTTTTTTTAGCCTTTTTGCTTTTAGGGTGCAATCCATAATTTTAAGCCTTTTTCCCCTTTTTCAAAGAAAATCAYGAGAAAAAAGTAGCAAACACGACAATTTAAACTGAAAATGCTGGATTGATCAGAAGTGATTTTTCTTCCAGTTTATTGAAAAATTTCAAAAATACCCTAAAAAAGTTSTTTTCGCAGCCAGCCCTTCAATTGCGTATACAAATTCAGAAACACTGTCATTTCAAGCTAGTAATCATTGGGTAGTTCCAGAAATATCTATACCATATGACAGGCGGCATCAATTTTTGACCCCCCCCCCTCTCCTTAGGAAATTCCGAAATTGGGTATCCCCCCCTCCCCTTAGGAATCCCAAAACCATATTTTTACCATATTTTTATTTATGCAATCGTAAAACTGATCGTTTGAAAACAATGCATCGTCTAGCTTCATGGAAGTGCTTAAAATCATTTATGTTGGAATTACTTATCTTTTACCTTGTATAGTTCTATTAACAAGTAATGTTCAAACAAATTAGACTCGTAAGAAAAAAAAAGAACTACGCATGGTGTCATCTGTGACCAAGACGCCATTAATTTMTGTCAAGAAACCGCTAACCACATGTTGTTTACAATTGCCGATCACTTAACCATGGATGCTTTAAACTTTGTTAAAATGACTCGAAAATAAGCTGYGTTGCTTTCAATGTACRTATTTTGCATTCAATAGAAGTTTTAGGTGTTTTTGTCATGGTTTTCAAACGTTTTTATAGTGATTTTTTTGGACTCTTAAATCATGATCAATGCCAGGGATCAATGTAAGTCCAGGTTAAAGGTTGTTGTCTATACTTTCTATAATTCTTCCCCCCTCCTTTAGATTTCTGAAATCATTCAGCCCTCTTCTCCCTTGGAATTCTCAAATCGATGACCCCCCTCCCCTCTGGATTTCCGAAATGCCGCCTGTCGTATGGTACAGATATTTTCTGAAACTACCCATTTATACTTACTGTAAGTGCCATAGCGTCACTGCCAGTATTTTCGTCCTGTCATGTTTGTTTTTCCCTTTGTCTCGTAAGTAGTATCCGCTATTGTATAATTTGTTCGCTTTAGTCAACATTCAAAAAAAAGTTTTAAACTGAATAAGTATATTTGCTAAAAGAGGTTTGTAGTCGTCTACAGTGTAGAGCATTAATAATTAAAAAGCGACAACAAAAAATGTTTTGTTTTGAAAATTATTTATTTTAGGAACAGTAGTTACAAGTTTTTCAAAACTATACATATTTGTGAAATATTACCTATATAATAAAATGTATGTTATTGGTGAGCACATGCTGGCGACTTGAAAACCATTTTGTGCTTGCGATTTTATTTGAAAAATTGGTTTGTTACCCAGGATCCTGAAGATTTACCTTTTAAGAAAGGAGACATATTAACTGTTGTCAAGAAAGAGGAGGAGCACTGGTGGAAAGCAAGAGATAGTGCAGGAAATGAGGGCATGATACCTAAACCTTATGTCCAATTGGTAAGAATGCTTATGTACAATAAGGG